CATGACCGCTCAATTGTCATTCAAAGTGCAACAGTGCTAAAAAAAAAACTGAACCTTGGCCTGGGCAGAAAAGGGGTACAGGTGCCCGGGTAGGCAAAAGGTTAAGGGGGTGTATGGTCACGTGCAGCTCATGGGTGGAGATGTTGGGTGTGGCCTCTCTAAGGTGGGAGTTTTTTGGGTTAGGTGTAACCCCTCTATAAAGAAGGGGAGTCCAGGTGGGTGCAGGCAAGCCGGGAATCTGTTTTTATGTGTAGCTCCTCAGGAATGGAAGAGTTGGGGTGCATGCCGCTGCTGCTCGAGGTTCTGAACGACGGACTTTTAGTAGACGTGGTAGATGTACACCTTCAGTATTTAAGCCCTGTATAGGTGGTGTCCTCCCCGTGCGGGTAGGGGGCGGTGTCCCGTGCGGGTAGGGGGCGGTGTCCCGTGCGGGTAGGGGGGCGGTGTCCCGTGCGGATAGGGGGTGGGTTGTCCCGTGCGGGATAGGGGGTGGGTGTCCCGTGCGGATAGGGGGTGGGTGTCCCGTGCGGATAGGGGGTGGGTGTCCCGTGCATACTTGGTGTCGGTGTTTAGTCCTCCCAATGCTTACCACAGGCAGTGTTGCCTCACCCGCTGTCTGTATAGAGAAAGAGGAGGAAGAGTAACATCTCCGTCCACACCACAGCTCGGCCCTGTGCCTGGACTGTATTGTTATCGGGGAGACAGCCTCTCCTCTCCAGTATATCTGTGATGGCTAGTTTTGGGTCTGTGGCTCTTAGCCGTCTCCTCTTCTTCCAGAGAATGGTATGGATATCACTTCCCGGAGCTCATCAAGATCGTTTCCGACAACTACACCTACTGCCGGATGGCCAAGTTCATTGGCAATCGAAAGGAGCTGAGCGAGGAGAAGCTGGAGGAGATGGAAGAGATCATAATGGACAGTGCCAAGGCCCAGGCCATCCTGGATGCTTCCAGGTCTTCCATGGGTGAGCTCGCCACTCCATGAACAAAGGATGAGAAATGTGTGTTGGAAGTGAATGGAAGGTTTAGTTACCCAGCAACTTCTCTCCCTCCAACTGCAATGGTGCTTAACGACTGTTGTTGTTCCCTCTAAGTACAGGTATCGTAAAGGGTCACTTTAGTCCACTATAAATGGGATCCCAGTGGGCTTCGTCTCCCCCCCTCTCTGCCTCTCCGGTGGGCTTTGTCTCCCCCCCCCTCTGCCTCCCAGTGGGCTTTGTCTCCCCCCCCCCCCCCCCCCCTGCCTCTCCGGTGGGCTTCGTCTCCCCCCCCCCCCCCCCCCCCTCTGCCTCTCCGGTGGGCTTCGTCTCCCCCCCCCCCCCTCTCTGCCTCTCCGTGGGCTTCGTCTCCCCCCCCCCCCCTCTGCCTCTCCCGTGGGCTTCGTCTCCCCCCCCCCCCCCCCCTCTGCCTCTCCGTGGGCTTCGTCTCCCCCCCCCCCCCCCCCTCTGCCTCTCCGGTGGGCTTCGTCTCCCCCCCCCCCCCCCCCTCTGCCTCTCCGGTGGGCTTCGTCTCCCCCCCCCCCCCTCTGCCTCTCCGGTGGGCTTCGTCTCCCCCCCCCCCCCCTCTGCCTCTCCGGTGGGCTTCGTCACCCCCCCCCCTCTGCCTCTCCGGTGGGCTTTCGTCTCCCCCCCCCTCTGCCTCTCTCCGGTGGGCTTCGTGTCCCCCCCCTCTGCCTCTCCGGTGGGCTTCGTCTCCCCCCCCCCCCCCCCCCTCTGCCTCTCCTTGGTGGGCTTCGTCTCCCCCCCCCCCCCCTCTGCCTCTCCGGTGGCTTCGTCTCGCCCCCCCCCCCCTCTGCCTCTCCGTGGGCTTCGTCTCCCCCCCCCCTCTGCCTCTCCGGTGGGCTTCGTCTCCCCCCCCCCTCTGCCTCTCCGGTGGGCTTCGTCTGCCCCCCCCCCCTCTGCCTCTCCGGTGGGCTTCGTCTCTCCCCTCTCCCCCCCCCCCCCCCCCCCCCCCCCCCTCTGCCTCTCCGGTGGGCTTCGTCTCCCCCCCCTCTCCCCCTCTCTGCCTCTCCGGTGGGCTTCGTCTCCCCCCCCCCCCCTCTCTGTGTGATCTTAGAAGGTGGAGTAGATTAGCCTACAGAGCGCCCAGGATACCGGATGTCTAACATACATTTTCCTCTCCCTCCAGGGATGGACATCTCCCCCATTGACCTGATCAATATTGAGAGCTTCTCCAGCCGTGTCATCTCCTTGTCCGAATACCACAAAGGCCTGCAGGAATATCTGAGATCCAAGATGACCCAAGTGGCCCCCAGCCTGTCCGCCCTCATTGGTGAAGTGGTCAGTATTGCTAACATTTACAACCTTTCCCCCACCTGATGGGTTGACATGACCATGTATACAACCATGCTGCATGATTGACAAGGAAACGTTCCCGTGTGCCGGTCATCAGTAGTGGCTACAGCGGTGTGTGGACTAGAAGCTTTAATCCATGGACTGGAAAGCAGTGTGGGCAGAGAGGGTCATGGTTGGGGACCAAAGGTGGGAATGAAGGAGGGTGGTGGTCTGGGATCAGAAGGTGCAGTGTAGTGGGGGAGGGTGTGGGACCTGGAGGTTAGCATGGAAGAGGGTGATGGTGGTTTGGGACCAGAAGGTGCAGTGGAAAAGGGGGAGGGGTGGTTTAGGGGCAGGACTGGAAGGTGGTCGTGGTCTGGAACCAGAGGGGCGCAGTGGAAGAGGGTGGTGGTCTGGAACCAGAGGGGCGCAGTGGAAGAGGGTGGTGGTCTGGAACCAGAGGGGCGCAGTGGAAGAGGGTGGTGGTCTGGAACCAGAGGGGCGCAGTGGAGGAGGGCGGTGGTCTGGAACCAGAGGGGCGCAGTGGAGGAGGGCGGTGGTCTGGAACCAGAGGGGCGCAGTGGAGGAGGCGGTGGTCTGGAACCAGAGGGGCGCAGTGGAGGAGGGCGGTGGTCTGGAACCAGAGGGGCGCAGTGGAGGAGGGCGGTGGTCTGGTTCAGTCTGAGTTCTTAAGTCTGAAGAGACTCCATAATCCAGGTGCCTCAAACCTGCCATCACGGATCCTGGAAGGAACTTTGCCAACTTTGAACACTTGTTGGAGGGTTTGGGAGACGGCTGCTGTTCTCACATTTCTAGGTGTACACAAATGACTTGCTTTGACTTTTTAAATATGGGGCCCTCAAGAGCCCTGAACACTTGCAGGCTTGGCACAGAGATGATGTATCGGTGAAATCTGTCAATCCACTGAGCCTGCTGCTGAGAACATTGCACTGCTGATCTGTGCCGCCTGAACTTGGATGTTGTCACCGTATTTTTCTATCTGCTCATCTTGTATGTTGTCACCATCAGTTCATTTCTTCTCCCGCAGGTTGGCGCTCGTCTCATCTCCCACGCCGGAAGTCTGACCAACCTGGCCAAGTACCCGGCCTCCACCGTCCAGATCCTGGGAGCAGAGAAAGCTCTATTCAGGTACATCTGCTGGGCGCTTGTGGTGATGGCAGGTGACTGGGTGCCGGTGTTTGACATGTTGGCGCCGGGCTTCTCGCTGGTCGCTGCATGAGTGATAACCGCCGCCCCAGATTCTGAACAACGCCCAATATTCGCTGTGTATATGTGTGCCTGAGGGGCTGTGAGCAGCTGTGCAGGTCAGAGCAATGCTGGGATCCCATTCTGAGGGGAAGGTGGGTGGGAGGGCTGGTCCACTTTAGTGTCCCCGCTGGTAGGGTGGATATCGTACATAGATGTAGACTCGTGGTCTTCACGTCACCAGTTTCGGCCCATTGCTTGCCTTTTATCCGGCCCTTGGGGCACTATTCCTAACGCTGACACCAAAAGTGGGGCATAATTCCCCCCACCGACACCAGCAATGGGACACTGACATCAATGATGGGGGGCCCTATTCCATCCTCACACGTCAATGATGGGGGGCCCTTTTCCATCCACACACGTCAATGATGGGGGGCCCATATTCCATCTCACACGTCAATGATGGGGGGCCCTATTCCATCCTCACACGTCAATGATGGGGGGCCCTATTCCATCCTCACACAGTCAATGATGGGGGGCCCTATTCCATCCACACATAGTCAATGATGGGGGGCCCTATTCCATCCACACATAGTCAATGATGGGGGGCCCTATTCCATCCTCACATAGTCAATGATGGGGGGCCCTATTCCATCCACACATAGTCAATGATGGGGGGCCCTATTCCATCCACACATAGTCAATGATGGGGGGCCCTATTCCATCCACACATAGTCAATGATGGGGGGCCCTATTCCTCCTCATACTGCCCACCCGCACTATGCAACTGAACACCACACCTGAGACCTTGTTTACTCTCACTGATGTTGGCCCTGAGACTTTCCTACCCCTGCTGGCCACAGTCCAGCCACCCTGAAGTTTGAGGTTCCCCTTACTGGCCCCTGGCTCTGAGGGAGGGGCGACTGGTTTCCTTTAGCGGTCCCTGGCTCTTGAGGGAGCGGCGGCAGGTTCCCATTTTGAAAGCCATTTTCTAGGTTTCTGTAGCCCTCTTCTGGTGTCGGTGTTCACCGTGTCTTGTTACAAATCTTTAGCTGATCCCATTACAGGGCATTGAAGACTCGCGGAAACACCCCGAAATACGGCCTCATCTTCCACTCCACCTTCATTGGACGTGCTGCCGCCAAGAACAAGGGGCGGATCTCCCGCTACTTGGCCAACAAGTGCACCATCGCCTCCCGCATAGACTGCTTTTCAGGTGAGGCGCCCCCTGTGGGGGGTATACATAGCTACTCTGTTCAGAGGTCATCAGGTTGAAGGTTGTGCTTTGCAATGATGGTAAATATTTTTCGTCAACAGTATATCACCTCGGTGAATGTTGATAGACTTGTGTCTGAGCGAAGAGGAGATGTCCACCGCTTGGTGGGTCTCGTATCCTCTAGATGGCAGTGAGGTTTGTTGTGTAATGTTCTGTATCTCCTCCATTGCAGAAATCCCTACCAGCGTGTACGGAGATAAGCTGAGGGAGCAGGTGGAGGAGCGCCTGGCGTTCTATGAGACCGGGGAGGCTCCACGCAAGAACCTTGATGTCATGAAGGAGGCCCAAGCTGAGGTCAGTATCTCCTGATGTAAAAGCTTCTAGTCTTGAAAACTTGGGTGAAGTAGAAATGTACTATTCAGTTAGGTCTGGGTGGAGGTCAATAGCCTTAGTTTAGGGGCCCATCTCCTCCCGGTGGTGGGGGGGGAGGCCCATCTCCTGGTGGGTGGGCCAGGGATGTCGGAAGTGATGAAGCTTTTCTCTCCTGACCAGAATGGGTGGAGGCAAAAACTGATTTAATGAGCCTGATCCGACGAGTTACCCCAGCAATGGCGGGGCAAAGGGTAAGCTCTGATCTGAGGGCCGGACTGAGTTCAGACCTCCCGTTGTATTTTCAGGCCACAGAAGTTGTGTCGGAGATAAGGAGGAAACTGGAGAAGAAAGAACGGAAGAGGAAGAAGCGGGAAAAGAAGAGGCTGGCAGAGTTGGAGCAGGAAGAGTCTGCTGCAGCGCAAAACACAGAGGAAGTGGAGGTGAGGATGGTGTGGAACTCAGTAGAGATAAAGGGTGCTCCTGTTTTTGGTATCTGCCACCAGTCCTCTTGTACACATCCCCTTTACCCCCTTCCAAAAAAGGATTGTGTACTAGCTACAGACCTGAGGGAGGGGGTTTCTGATGGCTTCAAGCTTCTCTAGGGCATCTGCTGGCCACATCCTTGTCCTGCCCATTGGGGAATATCTGGGGGAGATTGCTCCATGTGCATCTCGGCAGGATTCAGAAGTGGATAGAGGAGTGAAGGAACACCACCTCCCTTCCATAGTATGTTCTTGTCATTGCCAACAATATAGAACATTTAACCATCCTTGTCCTCTCCATCGTTGCATGGTTCTCTGAATGCCAACACTATAAAGCACCAAGTGTCTATTAACATGGTATGGTCCTGCAGTCATTGCCAACAATATTAAGCACCAAACACCCCCCCATCATTGCCAACCGTATGGAGCACCAAACACTCCTCCATCATCCTTATGGTTTGGTCCTGTCATTTCCATCACTATAGAGCACCCCCACCACCCTGTAACATGGTATGGCCCTGCAGTCATTGCCAACAGTATAGATCACCAACGCCCTCTCCAAACTTCCCAATGTCGTATGGCCTTGTCAATGCCAATACTGTAGTAAACCAACCCAACAGTATGTAGTATCAAACATCCCCACCCCCTCCAAACTGTTCAATGTGGTATGGTCCTCCTGCAGACACTGACAACAATATTTGAGACCCAAACACCCTCTGCGATTGCCAACAGCATAGAGCACCAAACACCCACCTTTGCCTGCCATTTTCAAACGTGGTAAGGTCCTGTCACTGCCAATAGTGTAGAGTACCAAACCCCATCGCACAGCATGGTATGGTCCTGCAGTCATTTCTGGCAATATTAAGCATCAAACACATCCCTGAGGCCATACCAAACAGTCTTGGGATGTGAGGATTGAACTGTTGAAGGTGTACAACTTCCTGGGCTGGTTGTCTGGTGATTACTTCCGGGAGTCACCTGTCATGTACAAAATGACCATGACTCTTCAGGTTACCCCAAATCATTTTCTGTAGTTTCTCCATGGTTTTGTCTGGACATTACTTCTCAATAGTTGTGGTATGGAGCATGCTTTGTATGTGGTATGTTTGTATCGGGGTCTGATATCTCATTGTTTTCTCAGGAGAAGCCCAAGAAAAAGAAAAATAAGCCGGAGGTAGTGGAGGAAGAGTTGGACAGCCAAGAGGAGGAACAGGACAACTACGAAGAGCCATCCAGCAAGAAGAAGAAAAAGAAACTGGAGGTGGCTGAGGTGTCTGATAACGAGAAGGCGGCTTCCAGCAAGAAGAAGAAGAAACGAAAGTCTGATGCGGAGGTGTCGGAGAACGGCTTAGAGGAAGAGGAACAGACCCCCAAAAAGAAGAAGAAACCGTCCACAGTGGAGACTCCGGCCACAGAACACAAGAGAAAGAAGAAAGCCAAAGTGCGCCATGAGGAGGACGACTGAGTCGTAGCCGCACACTTTACAGACTGATTATAAGGCGGGACTGCGCCGTTCTTTCATTTCATACATTTTTTTTTTTTTTCTATGTACAGAATTATACAGCTCGAGGACAACAAGCTAAAAACTGTCCAACTGTAAAATACGCAATAAAGTTTGTATATAACAAGATCCAGAGTCTGTTTTGGATGAAATAATGCAATGCATAGACTGGTGGCAGTGGGGCGAAAATGCTCTCCATATCTGGGAAGAATGTACAGTGGGGTGGCAGAGCCTGGGGTGGTAGCACTCCAGGAGGTGGTATGGAGCCTTGGACTGTGGGCACTCAGAGGTGGCATGGAGCCTTGGGCAGCCTGGTTCCAAGAGGCAGTGGAGGGGGCAGAGGGCTTCTTGAGATGTTCCAGAACCTTGGGGGTGGTGGGCACTCAAGGTGGTGTGGAGACTTGCGCGGTTTGACTTCTGAGAGGCAATGGGATGGTTATTCTTGGTACTTAAGATACTTCTTTTTTAGTGAATTTTTATCTTAATCATAGATCACAGGGCACTTCGTATTCATGACTGCTTGGGTCTTGATGTCGCCTTAAGGCGAATTTTCACCAAAACAGGAAGCCTGTCCAGCTCAGTTTTTAGTGTCCTTAAGTGATGTGCCTACAGATTTTCCTGAAGATCCTGTGTCATGGGCTTGGTTCCCTGTTCTAAATGAGCCTCCTCAACATTGGTCAATTGTGGCCAAGAGGCATAGAGGGGGGACACTGTAAAGGTGATTGGTGATTCCTTCAGAATCCAAGACGAGTTGCATGGGTGGGGAATTTTGCTCTGCCTTTGAGGTTGTATGGACTTGGGTCTGCAGCATGGTGTCAGGAGGTTGCAAGCTGGAGACTGCTGTGTGTGTGTGTGTGTGTTTGGTGTTCTTCCTTTTTTTTCTTGTGGTACATCACAGGACACGGCATCTTCATTAGCCATCACAATAGGGTTATGGTGCCACCATCAGGTGATGGGAGACTGGCAGGAAACAAGACTAAGTTCCCTCAGGGGCTTAATCCCTCCCAGTTAGGTCACCGGCTGAATCCTTCTGAAGATAGGACTGTGTAGAGGAGGCAGAGAGGAAAAAGGGGTTGTAGGAGGAGGCTTGACTGCAAGGGACACTGATATACGGGGGAGGCTGTGATTTCTAGGGGCAATGATCTAAAGGGGCACTATACTGTAAAGAGGAATGGAGGACACTGGGGCTGCTTTAAAGAGAGAACTGTGGCCAACTGATACAAAGGGGAGCTGAGGACCAACTCAATATCACATCACCAACTGCCCCTGTGAACTTGACACCCCCCCTTTAATCTGCCCCACCTGGTCCCTTGAAAAATTGGCTGCCATGAAACCAGTCCCTGGTGCAAAATAGATTGAGGGTTGCTCTAAAGGTAACAAGCTCCCACTAGTGTTTCCTGGTGCAGTGCCGGTGTTTTTTACTGGGACTGGTTTCCAGCAATGGTCACTATTTGCATGTTGCCATTATATGCCCTGGGGGGGCAGTTTTGTTCCACATGCCTCTGACCCCCTTCAGCTTTTGGTATTGCTGTTACCTCTGGGGAACCTTCTTCCAGTCCTTTGTACTGACGGAGGTTATTTGTTGCTAAATTCAGCAGCTTTCCAGAATACTTGCTAGTTTGGACCACCTTGGTCGCAAACCAATGTTGGAGAGTGCGGTAGAGCATGATGGGTAGGTTCTTGTAGAGGGGGAGATATAGTAGAATCCTCGTCCAAAGACTGCTCTTGAAGAATCCCCAGGTCAGGCTTTAGAACTCCTGCATACCAGGGTATCCCTGTTGTAGATGTCAGGACAAATGATGAGGGAGCGATCTGCATCACAGAAGTTGGCCTTTATCTTCAACCCAGAGAATGGAATATTTAGGCCTGATCCTGGATACCATCCTGGAGAGAGTAATCCTGGACATGTCTTGCTCTGAGGACTCAGGTAGACATGTTCAAGACTGTAATTCGCTCTTACATGTGGCTTCTGGGGAAAATGGTCACCTCCTTTTTAGGCAGTGCCTTTGACGGCTTTCTTTCCAGGCTCCTAAAATAATGTCTTGGGGCATGGAACAGGAGGATTCAGTCATTGGGTTCTCCTATGTTATCCATCAGCATAAGACTTTCCTCTGGATTTTCTCATGGATAGCTGGAGATGGGAAAATTGTTCCTCTTTATCCTGGAGGGTCCTGATGACAGAAGCCATCCTCCAGAAGCTCTGGTGGATTCTGGACTATTTCTTAGGCCAGAAAACGTGGTCAGAACAGGAAAGCTTGTTGCTCATCAACATCCTGAGAATTGAGGATGATTGCCCTACCCCAGCCTTTCTCAACCAGGATGCCTTCAGGCTTCTTCAGGGGTTCCTTGACAAAATGCTCCAAAACTGTACACAAGGCCAGCAGGTGGATCAATCCTGCCTTTTTAGTACACAAAGCCACAGGTTCTCATTGTGCACTTTTATGACCACCTAGCTGCCAGCATCCTAACAACCAATGACATCCGTTGAGGACATTAAATGCACGCACATAATCCTCGTGTGGCCCTCACCTGCCCCTCTCCGTCAGCACTGGGGTCACATTAGCGGAGAGAAAATGAGAGACACTGGAATACTAGTCAGTACCAGAGGTGAAAAGGGGAATTTGCTTTGGAGGAATAAATCCCCTCTAACGTTGGGTGTACTGATGTGTGTAGAATTGTTTTTTAGATTGGGGTGCCTTGAGGACTGTAGAATTTTAAAGGGTTCCCTGAGATTATCCATAATTTTAAAGGGTGCCTTGACTGAATAAAGGTTGAGAAGCGCTGCCCTACCCTACTGCATGATTGTTGCAGCTAAAGGGCCTTCTCCTAATGTCCAGTCAGACAATGTCACAGTACGGTACGTATTTATTAAGGAGTCACCAGAAGTTGAGCTGCTCAAAGGAAAGTGGATCTTATTCTGTGTTGGGTGGCACTCCGTTTTCATGGAACAGTGGCAGGTGCATCTTTATTGCTAGTTTTTTATTTTCTTTAGTCAAAACTCATCTTCCCATGACTGCTAGACCTGGTCATTGCCATTGCTGCTTTATTATTATTATACAGTATTTATAAAGCGCCGATAGTTGGCTCAGCGCTGTACATTACAGAGGGGGACAGAACATGTGACAGAACAATACAGTAAACAATGTAATACATGAGGGGATCGAGGGCCCTGATCCTTGGAGCTTACAATCTAGGAGGGAGTGGGATGGTGGTACAGGAGGAGATAGCTGTGGGGGATGGAGTGGTAGGAAGAGTGGAGGAGGTCGGCAAGTTAGCAGGGGTGGGGTAGGCTTCCCTGAAGAGATGGGTTTTCAGGGTGCGCCTAAAGGAGAGGAGAGTAGGTGTTAATCTGATGGGTTGGGGCAGGGAGTTCCAGAGGATGGGTGACACCCTGGAGAAGTCCTGGAGGAGGAGACCAGGGAACTAGAGAGAAGGAGGTCTTGTGAGGAGCGGAGTGTGCGTGTTGGGTGGTACTTGGATATTAGGTCAGTGATATAGCTCGGGGCAGTATGGTGGACAGCTTTGTACGTCAGTGTTAGGATTTTGAATTTGATCCGTTGCGCAATCGGAAGCCAGTGGAGGGATTGGCAGAGGGGGTGGAGGACACTGAGTGGAGGCCAGTGGAGGGATTGGCAGAGGGTGGTGGAGGACACTGAATGGAGGCCAGTGGAGAGATTGGCAGAGAGGGGTGGAGGACACTGAGTGGAGGGATTGGCAGAGAGAGGTGGAGGACACGGAGTGGAGACCAGTGGAGGGATTGGCAGAGGGGGGTGGAGGACACTGAGTGGAGGCCAGTGGAGGGATTGGCAGAGGGGGGTGGAGGCCACAGGGGAGTGGAGGTCAGTGGAGGGATTGGCAGAGAGGGGTGGAGGACACTGAGTGGAGGCCAGTGGAGGGATTGGCAGAGGGGGGTGGAGGACACTGAGTGGAGGCCAGTGGAGGGATTGGCAGAGGGGGGTGGAGGCCAGTGGAGGGATTGGCAGAGAGTGGTGGAGGACACTGAATGGAGGCCAGTGGAGAGATTGGCAGAGAGGGGTGGAGGACACTGAGTGGAGGCCAGTGGAGGGATTGGCAGAGAGGGGTGGAGGACACGGAGTGGAGACCAGTGGAGGGATTTGCAGAGAGGGGTGGAGGACACTGAATGGAGGCCAGTGGAGGGATTGGCAGAGAGGGTGTGGAGGACACTGAGTGGAGGCCAGTGGAGGGATTGGCAGAGGGGGGTGGAGGACACTGAGTGGAGGCCAGTGGAGGGATTGGCAGAGGGGGGTGGAGGACACTGAGTGGAGGCCAGTGGAGGGATTGGCAGAGAGGGGTGGAGGCCAGTGGAGGGATTGGCAGAGGGGGGTGGAGGCCAGTGGAGGGATTGGCAGAGAGGGGTGGAGGACACTGAGTGGAGGCCAGTGGAGGGATTGGCAGAGGGGGGTGGAAGACACTGAGTGGAGGCCAGTGGAGGGATTGGCAGAGAGGGGTGGAGGACACTGAGTGGAGGCCAGTGGAGGGATTGGCAGAGGGAGGTGGAGGACACTGAGTGGAAGCCAGTGGAGGGATTGGCAGAGAGGGGTGGAGGACACTGAGTGGAGGCCAGTGGAAGGGATTGGCAGAGAGGGATGGAGGACACTGAGTGGAGGCCAGTGGAGGGATTGGCAGAGGGGGGTGGAGGACACTGAGTGGAGGCCAGTGGAGGGATTGGCAGAGAGGGGTGGAGGCCAGTGGAGGGATTGGCAGAGGGTAGGGGGTGGAGGACACTGAGTGGAGGCCAGTGGAGGGATTGGCAGAGGGGGGGAGGACACTGAGTGGAGGCCAGTGGAGGGATTGGCAGAGGGGGGTGGAAGACACTGAGTGGAGGCCAGTGGAGGGATTGGCAGAGAGGGGTGGAGGCCAGTGGAGGGATTGGCAGAGGGGGTGGAGGACACTGAGTGGAGGCCAGTGGAGGGATTGGCAGAGGGGGGTGGCGGATACAGAGCGGTTGGAAAGGTGAATGAGTCTGGCAGCCGTATTCAGGATGGACTGAAGCGGGGATAGCCAGCGGCGAGGCAGGCCAGTGAGGAGGGAGTTGCAGTAGTCGAGTCGTGATATGAGGGAGTGGATCAGTGTAACCTCAGCTTGACCTTGGAGTACCATACCCAGACCCCATTGGACTGAATGCAGAGTGAAAGCCTAGAAGTGGCCTTGGGTTCTGCAAAGATAGATTCCATACAGATTGCTTGTTAGCTGTAGAGCGCTTTCTAGGTCCAGAGCCACTGACATTGCCTCAGCACTTGGCCTGTCACTGTAGACTCGCCCTCTGAGCATCAAGAGCTACCTCATTACTGTGTTCTGATGTCATCTGCTGGGTGGAGTGTTGCGTTTGACCTGCACTATTTACTGCCAATCAGCATTTGAAGCACCCCCCCCCCCCACACACTTAGTTTGCAAAGAGCCCCTTGCAACCACGGTCTTTCAGTGTTCCTACTGCCAGTCTACAATGACTTTGGTCACTTCTGGTTTTCTGACAGTTCCGGCGGCACCATCAGGTGCCAGCTGTCTGGGTCTGGAGTACCTGAGGTCTTTCCTCTAAATTGGGTTTTCCACCATAGGGTCACAACATTTAGTATCTAGACACAGAAAGGACAGTCCTGCTGCAACAGATGATCCCAGCTCTCCCTCTCCTAACAGTTGTGGGATGTTCATTCTGGCCCTTTATGAAAGCACTGACCTTGTAATCTGGAATCCTGTCACCCACTGAAGGTTTTTCGTCTTAGGAGTCCTTGGCTCTGATGGGTGAGTCTGAGTCTCCTGCCTTTTATGGACCGGGATCTCTGCTACAGTCAACACTTGACTTTGTGACCAAATTCAATTTCTCGCTGGTCCTGATGTCAGTGTCCCTAAGCACACTCCTGAACCTTCTCCCACAGTCTGTGGCTGATCTATCCGCAGTCTTAAAGGCAACCAAGCCATTTGTCACAATGACCACTTGTGAGTTCGGTCACCTTAGGGGACTTGATTACGAAGAAGTGCGTTCCCTTGGTATAGACCCAGATTTATTCGATTGTATTGGCTCTTATTTAATCTGAAATGTGCTGCTCTACATCTAAAGATCAGCCTGCTGTCTCAAGTATTGGGTCTACCAGAGCTCCTACAGTCACAAGGAACTTCCCATTACATCAGCTCTTTGAAGTGTTCCTCTCAGGATATGAATCACCCTGATGGGTCCTGGGCAGCCCCTGAGGACCTTTGGATTTTTTTCTCTTTTAAGAAGTTTTTTTTTTTTTTTTCTAAATGGTGGTCTATATGGCCCACCTGAGCAGGAGACAACTAGGACAGTAGAGTAAGTCCTCACATTCAAGGATTTTACAGACAAGCAGTTAGAATCCCTCTGTTTTTGTTGGCATTGCCAACCCTATGCCCTATTCTTGCTGTGACCCTAACATGTCAGGCACTGGTTAAGTAGTATAAATCCCTGCATACTTGCACATTTCTCACACTTGTATGGACAGCAGACTCGGGGTCCAAGGAGAGCTTGATCTGCTTGGTCTTCTGAGTGGCGGCATTATCAGGGGAGGCTGGAGCATCCACCTTCCTCAGTGAAAAACGTTTGAAGAGTTGGAGGTGTTTATTCTGCCCCTACTCCTGGAGCAGGCACATCTAGGTCATCTAGACCTGGTTTCCTGGACACCTGCAGGGTTGGAGGTAAGAAGTCTGCAAACCCCATCCAGGTAGTAGCATTGAGAGGACTAACTTGGGATTACAGATGGAACCTTCACAAACTTGCTCACGCCCAAGGAGCAAGTAGATGCGGGCTTGGTAACGAGCCTTCGCGCTACCTTCTGGAATGTGAGATCTTTGTTGAACTCTCACCTACCGATCTATGCGCTGACGTTCCAGAACAGGCGTTTCCTTCTACAACATTCCCCTTGACAGGTTTCTGGATGCAGATTACATCCTAGGACTACTGTGTCTCAACAATCCATGAGGAGTAGGAGGCCTTGCTGTGGCAGGATGGCAGTTTGGTTCTTGGTGGGGGTACAACTTTATGCTACAGTCCTGTCCCCTCTGCTTTTGCCAAGTGCATTATTGCTGCAAAAAATCACTGAAATGGCCATAGCAACACAACTCCCTGAAGAGGTTCTAATCAATGATACTGTGACGGGAGTGACTTTGGGTGGGGGGGGAAAACACCTCACCCATGGAACACAGCTCATTTTGGAGGGGTGGGGAGACCCCTGTCTAAGCTCCCCATATCCCTATTATGTGTAAGTCACCCTGTGCCTGTTAGGGGTACAGGGTGATCTGTCCTAATATTGGGGTGGGGGGTGTTCATTGTTCACTGCCATGTGGCTGCATCCCATTGTTCTATTGTGTGTCTTGCTTGGGAGCAAACTATAACGGGATGTAGGTGTTTGTGTATTGGCTTGGTGGGGGGTGTTTCCTGCAGTCCTTCCCCCTGATGGGACGGCCTGCTGATGTGTTTCCTGTTACTGAATGTATTGCCCCCCCCCTGTGTATAAATCTTGTCTCTGTGTTAAAATAAAGCAGTTGACTTCCTGTTTTAATACAAGTCTGTTGCTGTCTCGTCTTGTATGGTCAGCGGTGGTGTCCGTGGATCTGTGTTCGGACAGGGAAGCGGGAGTCTAACAGAAATACCCCAGTGCAGTCGGGGTCCGGTTCCGTTACAGACACCTAATCTGGAACACTGGAATCTAACTCCATGGATTTGAAGTGGTGGTAAATGTTGGGCTGTACTTATTCTTCCCATCCCAGGCTCCCCAGGTGAGGTCAGTAAATTCAGCACCCGTGTCACATACATCGAACGCTTTAATTTGCAGCAATATTTCACGTCACTCCAATTTGTGCTTCAAGGCAGCAGAGCGGTGCTCTCCAGTACGCAGGGAATCCAGAAAATCAGCACGCGTACAGAGAAAGCAGCACAGCATATACACCAAGGGGCCTAGTTACAGATTGCCAATTTTCTCCTAGAAGTTCGGATGTGAAAAGCAACTATGAAGGAGAAACAAAATCCTGTCCAGCTTCACTCAGATACAGAATGGATTGTGCCCAGATTGGGGTCACAGATTCTATTGAGGGGGGGGGGGGGGGGAACCAGCTAGAAGGTAACAATAAATTAAACTCATGTTAGTTGAAATAAATTAAATATTGGAGCGGATTTCCCAGAATTGTGAAAACAGACAAGAATCAATATTTTCAACGAAAAATAATTGCATAATATGAGTTACAACTTTTTTTTTATAAAGAGGCCTCATCGTGTTGAACTGCATGACACCCCAACGATAGTCCCCCCGCCCCAAGGTGGTGTAGACAGGTACATATGGAGTAAAGCAGTACTAGGGGACTGATAGCTCGTTCAGTCATGAGAACCGCGCAGGCCAGTCTTTGCAGTGCAATAGGCGATGAGTCAGAGATGGGGAGTGTCACATGGCTGGGACTCCGCCCCTGAAGATCTTCTAGGAATTGAGGTTGTTGATAACGGCCTGCGTGTAATCCAAAGAGGTGGCATACCCGCCCATATCTGTCGTACGGACCTGCAGAGAGAGAAATACAGTAAAGAACTTTCATGTTTCCAGTCAGTAAACTTCAATCACCTAATGGTGGAAGGAGCTGGGGGGAGGGGAGCCATCAGAACAGAGGAGCAATATACAGAAAACCCAAACCACCTTCCATGGAGGAGCCGGGATTATTATTACACAGGAGTTATAGAGCGCCAACACAGCGCTTTCCTCTATAAAGGGAGACAGTACAGTGACAATACAATAAGAGGGCCCGGCTCATAAGAGGGCCCGGCTCATAGGAGCTCACAATCTAATAGGGTGGGGCAAGTGGTACAAAAAGGTTATACTGGGGGAGGAGCTGATGGAAGAGATGGAGGCATCATAGGCTTCCCTGAAGAGACAAGTCTTCAGGGATTGCCTAAAGGCAGCCCCAGAGTAAGGAATAGCTGGACACATTGAGGTAGAGAGTTCCAGAGGATGGACGAGGCTCTGGCAAAGCACCGGAGACGAGCAGAGGAGGAGGAGACAAGGGAGCTTGAGAGCAGGTGGTCATGACCGGAGCGGAGAGGACGGTTTGGGTGATATTTGGAGACAAGATTGTTGATGTAGCTGAGGACAGAGTTGTGGATGGCTTTGTAAGCTTTTGTTTGATTTTAATTCGCTGGGCAATCGGAAGCCAAATGGAGGGATTGGCAGAGAGGGGTGGAGGACACTGAATGGAGGTCAGTGGAGGGATTGGCAGAGGGGTGGGGGACACTGAATGGAGGTCAGTGGAGGGATTGGCAGAGAGGGGTGGGGACACTGAGTGGAAGGCAGTGGAGGTATTGGCAAGGAGGGGTGGAGGACACTGAGCCGAGGCCAGTGGAGGGATTGGCAGAGAGGGGTGGAGGACACTGAGAGGAGGCCAGTGGAGGGATTGGCAGAGAGGGGTGGAGGACACTGAGGGGAAGCCAGTGGATGGATTGACAGAGAGGGGTGGAGGACACTGAGGGGAAGCCAGTGGAGGGATTGGCAGAGAGGGGTGGAGGACACTGAGCCAAGGCCAGTGGAAGGATTGGCAGAGAGGGGTGGAGGACACTGAGCCGAGGCCAGTGGAGGGATTGGCAGAGAGGGATGGAGGACACTAAGAGGAGGCCAGTGGAGGGATTGGCAGAGAGGGGTGGAGGACACTGAGTGAAGCCAGTGGAGGGATTGGCAGAGAGGGATGGAGGACACTGAGTGGAGGCCAGTGGAGGGATTGGCACAGAGGGGTGGAGGACACTGAGTGGAGGCCAGTGGAGGGATTGGCAGAGAGGGGTGGAGGACACTGAGGGGGGGAAGCCAGTGGGGGGATTGGCAGAGAGGGGTGGAGGACACTGAGTGAAGGCCAGTGGAGGGATTGGCAGAGAGGGGTGGAGGACACTGAGTGAAGGCCAGTGGAGGGATTGGCAGAGGGGGGTGGAGGACACTGAGTGGAGGCCAGTGGAGGGATTGGCAGAGGGGGGTGGAGGACACTGAGTGAAGGCCAGTGGAGGGATTGGCAGACAAGGAGTGGAGGCCAGAGGAGAATTTGACAGAGAGGGGTAGCAGACACTGAGTGATTAGTAAGGTAGATGAATCTGGCAGCAGCATTCATGATGGACTGAAGGGGGGATAGCCTACGGAGAGGTAGGCCTATGAGAAGGGAGTTGCAGTAGTCTAGGGAGTGGATGAGTAGCTTGGTGGTTTCATTATAGGATGGGTGTATGAGCTCCATTTCTGAGTCAATCTGCATAGTGCTCACCCTCCCCACCCCCGCAAGGCACCACCACACCTCCCCCACCCCCGCAAGGCACCACACTTCCCCAGCAACAAGATTAATTGCAGGATATTCCACGAACAAGGAACAAAAAGAGTTTTGATTCTGTACTCTACACCAAGGGTGTCAAACTGGTGGCCCTCCAGCTGTTCCCAAACTACAAGTCCCATCATGCTTCTGCCTTTGGGAGTCATGCTTGTAACTGTCATTCTTGCAATGCCTCATGGGACTTGTAGTTTGGGAACAGCTGGAGGGCCGCCAGTTTGACCCCCGGGGTCTACACCTTCATGCCTGCTGTCTCCATATTAGGAATCACGGTTCCCTGAACTAGGAACATGAATGGTAGGAACAATGGAGACGTCATCGCGCCCCACCCTCCCGGTGTTTGTGATGCGTCTGCCTCTAGAATACAAATCTCTTCCTTTATAGGACGGTCCGGTTATTACCCAGAATTCTCTCAGAAATGAGTTCCATGATTAATTGTTCATATTAAGGCTCTTCATGTGGCTTGTCCCTTGGAAGTGCAGGAGAGACAAAAGATATGAACAAATGCTGACACGGCTCATACAAAATGGTCGACATTTACGTAAATCACGAAGGAAGACATTTGTACATGTCTGTCCACGGGGATGATATCACCATGGAAAACTGGCCTGGGATCAGACTCTGGTACGGACGGAACTGGCCTGGGATCAGACTCTGGTACGGACGGAACTGGCCTGGGATCAGACTCTGGAATGGGCGGAACTGGCCTGGGATCACACTCTGGTACGGGTGGAACTGGCCTGGGATCACACTCTGGTACGGGCGGAACTGGCCTGGGATCAGACACTGGAATGGGCGGAACTGGCCTGGGATCAGACTCTGGTACGGGCGGAACTGGCCTGGGATCAGACTCTGGTACGGGCGGAACTGGCCTGGGATCAGACTCTGGTACGGGCGGAACTGGCCTGGGATCAGACTCTGGTAGGGGGCGGAACTGGCCTGGGATCAGACTCTGGTACGGGCGGAACTGGCCTGGGATCAGACTCTGGTACGGGCGGAACTGGCCTGGGATCAGACTCTGGTACGGGCGGAACTGGCCTGGGATCAGACTCTGGTAGGGGCGGAACTGGCCTGGGATCAGACTCTGGTAGGGGCGGAACTGGCCTGGGATCAGACTCTGGTAGGGGCGGAACTGGCCTGGGATCAGACTCTGGTATGGGCGGAACTGGCCTGGGATCAGACTCTGGTACGGGCGGAACTGGCCTGGGATCAGACTCTGGTATGGACGGAACTGGCCTGGGATCAGACTGGTACGGGGGCGGAACTGGCCTGGGATCAGACTCTGGTATGGGCGGAACTGGCCTGGGATCAGACTCTGGTACGGACGGAACTGGCCTGGGATCAGACTCTGGTACGGACGGAACTGGCCTGGGATCAGACTCTGGTACGGGGGGGAACTGGCCTGGGATCAGACTCTGGTAGGGGGCGGAACTGGCCTGGGATCAGACTCTGGTACGGGCGGAACTGGCCTGGGATCAGACTCTGGTACGGGGGAACTGGCCTGGGATCAGACTCTGGTAGGGGCGGAACTGGCCTGGGATCAGACTCTGGTAGGGGCGGAACTGGCCTGGGATCAGACTCTGGTACGGGCGGAACTGGCCTGGGATCAGACTCTGGTACGGGCGGAACTGGCCTGGGATCAGACTCTGGTATGGGCGTGTAATGGGAGTGACTTTTGGGGGTGGGGGGACCCGTCTCAGCTCCCCATGTTCCCATTATGTGTAAGTCACCCTGTGCCTGTTGGGGGTACAGGGTGAAATGTTCTAATATTGGGGTGGGGGTTGTTCATTGTTCTCTGCCATGTGGCTGCATGCCATTGTTCTAGCAAACTATTATGGGATGCAATGTTTGTGTATTGGGGTACGGGGGGGGTTGTTCATTGTTCACTGCCATCCCAATGTTCTATTGTGTCTTGCTGGCCAGCAAACTATTAGGGGATGTATGTGTTCCCGTATTGTCTGCTGCCACATGGTGTATCCTATTGTGTGTCTTGGTTTGGTGGGGGGTGTTTCCAGCAGCCCTTCCCCCTGATGGGACGGACTGCTGATGTGTTTCCTGTTCCTGGTTGTATTGCCCCGCCCTGTGTATATATCTTGTGTTTGTGTTAAAATAAAGCAGTCTAATTCCTGTCTTAAAAAGTCAGACTCTGGGTGCTGTCTTGTCCTGTATGGTCAGCGGTGGGTTCCGTGGATGGTGTTCGGACTGGGAAGCGGGAGTCGGAAACAGAAATACCCCAGTGTAGGATTGGTACCCCAGTCCGGGTCCGGTTCCGTTACAGGGCAGAACTGGCCTGGGATCAAACTCTGGAAGGGGCGGAACTGGCCTGGGATCAGACTCTGGAAGGGGCGGAACTGGCCTGGGATCAGACTCTGGAAGGGGCGGAACTGGCCTGGGATCAGACTCTGGAAGGGGCGGAACTGGCCTGGGATCAGACTCTGGAAGGGGCGGAACTGGCCTGGGATCAGACTCTGGAAGGGGCGGAACTGGCCTGGGATCAGACTCTGGAAGGGGCGGAACTGGCCTGGGATCAGACTCTGGAAGGGGCGGAACTGGCCTGGGATCAGACTCTGGAAGGGGCGGAACTGGCCTGGGATCAGACTCTGGAAGGGGCGGAACTGGCCTGGGATCAGACTCTGGAAGGGGCGGAACTGGCCTGGGACCAGACTCTGGAAGGGGCGGAACTGGCCTGAGACCAGACTCTGGTATGGACGGAACTGGCCTGGGACCAGACTCTGGTATGGACGGAACTGGCCTGGGATGAGCTATGGGTAGAATCTTCCCCTCCCCCCACACTGGTGACACAATCACTGGGGGACGGTTCATAAGAATTTGCAGAATTGTTGCTTTTCTTTATTTGTCCTTTTTATCTACTAAATGTTACAATTTAAAAATTTGAAAAAATTGACTTGAAAAGTTGATAATGTTGAAGATTAGAGTAAGAATGATAGAAGAGCAGCATGATGAAGGAGGAGAGGTTGGAGGAATCAGATCCTCTCATGCACACAGACATATTTCTCATGCAGTCTGTGCTCAGAGTGGTATGAATGGTGCCATGCGGTCTGTGCTCAGGGTGGTATGACTGGTGACGTGCGGTCTGCGCTCAGAGTGGTATGAATGGTGACGTGCGGTCTGCGCTCAGGATGGTATGAATAGTGACGTGCGGTCTGCGCTCAGGATGGTATGAATGGTGACGTGCGGTCTGTGCTCAGGGTGGTATGAATGGTGACGGTGCGGTCTGTGCTCAGGGTGGTATGAATGGTGATGTGCGGTCTGTGCTCAGAGTGGTATGAATGGTGACGTGCGGTCTGTGCTCAGGGTGGTATGAATGGTGACGTGCGGTCTGTGCTCAGAGTGGTATGAATGGTGACGTGCGGTCTGCGCTCAGGGTGGTATGAATGGTGACGTGCGGTCTGCGCTCAGGGTGGTATGAATGGTGACGTGCGGTCTGCGCTCAGAGTGGTATGAATGGTGACATGCGGTCTGCGCTCAGAGTGGTATGAAATGGTGACATGCGGTCTGCGCTCAGAGTGGTATGAATGGTGACATGCGGGTCTCCGCTCAGAGTGGTATGAATGGTGACATGCGGTCTCCGCTCAGAGTGGTATGAATGGTGACATGCGGTCTGTGCTCAGGGTGGTATGAATGGTGACATGCGGTCTGTGCTCAGAGAGGTATGAATGGTGACATGCGGTCTCCGCTCAGAGTGGTATGACTGGTGACATGCGGTCTGTGCTCAGAGTGGTATGAATGGTGACATGCGGTCTGTGCTCAGAGTGGTATGAATGGTGACGTGCGGTCTGCGCTCAGGGTGGTATGAATGGTGACGTGCGGTCTGCGCTCAGGGGTGGTATGAATGGTGACGTGCGGTCTGCGCTCAGAGTGGTATGAATGGTGACATGCGGTCTCCGCTCAGAGTGGTATGAATGGTGACATGCGGTCTCCGCTCAGAGTGGTATGAATGGTGACATGCGGTCTGTGCTCAGGGTGGTATGAATGGTTGACATGCGGTCTGTGCTCAGAGAGGTATGAATGGTGACATGCGGTCGGTCTCCGCTCAGAGTGGTATGAATGGTGACATGCGGTCTGTGCT